AGCGCTGTGCAGGGTGGGGGAGACGCATGTGAACACCGCCACTGGGGCCTTAGGTGGAGCTCCCTATGTGGCCACGAAGCGCTGTGCTCGGCGGGGAAAACGCATGTGGACACCGCCATTGAGGCCTTAGGTGGAGCTCCCTACGGAGCCACGAAGCGCTGTGCTGGGTGGGGGAGACGCATGTGAACACCGCCACTGGGGCCTTAGGTGGAGCTCCCTATGGGGCCACGAAACGCTGGGATGGGTGGGGGAGACGCATGTGGACACCGCCACTGGGGCCTTAGGTAGAGCTCCCTGAGGAGCCACGAAACGCTGTGCTGGGGGGGAGCCGCATGTGGACACCGCCACTGGGGCTTTAGGTGGAGCTCCCAATGTGGCCACGAAACGCTGTGCTGGGGGGGGGAGACGCATGTGGACACTGCCGCTGCGGTTTTAGGTGGAGCTCCCTATGGAGCCACGAGGCGCTGTGCTGGGTGGGGGAGACGCATGTGGACACCGCCACTGGGACCTTAGGTGGAACTCCCTATGTGGCCACGACACATTGTACTGAGTGGGGGAGGCGAATGTGGACACCGCCACTGGGACCTTAGGTGGAGCTCCCTATGTGGCCACGAAACGCCGAGGACATGCGCAGGGCAGAGGCAGGGGCGGGAGGAGGGAGGAGGGGGAGGAGGAAGGAAGGAGGGAGGGAAGGTACACGGGGACCGTCCTTACAGAACGAGGACCCCACACCACAGGACGGCTGGGTATCAGGACGTCGCATGTCCTGGGAGAGATGACGGCCGACAACCTTACCTTTTCGCTGTCAACAACCCCAGACGGCCCCGCGCTACCCACTGCTATCCGGTTTTGGCGGGGGGGGGTGGCGGCTGGTGGCCCGATGTGTTCGCCCTGGGCAGCCCCGCGGATGCCCGCGCGCACCAGCACTGCGTATCCCGTCGGCCCTGCGCAACCGACAAGGTCGGACTATCCAGAGGGGGACCGGGGGGCGCGGGCCCGAGACGGCCAGAGACGTAGGCCAGAAGAACATCCTTCAAGAACATGAGGCCCTCCGCTGGCCAAACTGAAGAGCAGTCAAGGGCACCCTCCCCCTGGATGCACGAGAAGATGCAACAAAGACGAAGAACATCAGGGCACCATCCCCGAACCGACCTCAATCTTCTACCTCGGTCCGATCGTAGCCCAGATTATCGGCGGACCCGCCTTTTGGTATAATTGACCAAACCATTCTCTAGGCCAAATTCTAGCATGATAGGTTCACTTTGGTTAAATTTCGGCCAGATTTGCATGAAATTTCTCAAGACGTCGCGACGATCGCCGTCGACGGTCGTCGCCAGCGTCGCCGACGTCGTCGACGGCAGGATCCTCGCCATGCCCCCGCCGCTGGCTGCGATGCTGCCGCCGCCGCTGCGGCTCGTCGGGAGGTCGGCACGGCACTGCTACTCCGTACGAATTTACAAAGTCCCACACCTAGAGCAGGAGGAGGAGGAGGAGGAGGAGGAGGAGGACTAGGAGGAGGAGGAGGAGGAGGAGGAGGAAGAGGAGGGGGAAGGAAGAGGCGTAAGGAGGAGGAGGAGGAGGGAAGAGGAGGAGTGAGGAGGAGGAGGAGGAGGAGGAGGAGGAGGAGGGAGGAGGGAGGAATAGGCAGCGAGGAGGAGGAGGAGGAGGAAGAAGAGAGGAGGAAGAGGAGGAGTGAGGAGGAGGAGGAGGAGGAGGAGGAGGAAGAGGAGGAGTGGTGAGGAGGGAGGAGGAGGAGGAAGGAGGAGGAGGAGGAGGAGGATGAGGCGCTCGTCGCTGCGCGCCCACCTCGGCTTCGAGCTCCCCCCCGCCGAGCCCCGCGAGGCCGCGGCGGAGGAGGAGGAGGAGGAGGAGGAGGAGGAGGAAGGGAGGAGGAGGAGGAGGAGGAGGGAGGAGAAAGAGCGAGGAGGAGGAGGAGGAGGAGGAGGAGGAGGAGAAAAATCGTGTCATGACGACCCCGCTCACCCACGCACCACGCGCTCGCGCGCAACGCTCGATATGTAAGGAGAACTGTCGAGCGACTGCCAGGCGCATCTAGAGGAAGACGAAGCGGGATACGGTGATGGCATTGGATCAGGAAACCTTCGACAAGGAATCCAGTGTCTGGAAGCCTGTGGAAAGCCAGACTTGGATTGGCAGTAGATATCACCGCCGCACTCATGAAATAAGGAATCTCCCAGGGCCTGAAGCATCTGGGGCACGTTCCTTAACGAACGCCCCCACCGCAAGCATGATATCTGAAAGGTCCGCGCGGATTTCTTGGATCTGCGTTGGACCGTCACCCCCCCCCCACACACACCTGGCGCGCGGAGCGCGCCAGAGGCGCTGCCGGGGGGGGATCTCAACGCCGATCCAAGAAATCCGCGCGGAGCGCCGAAAGTTTTGTCGCCTCCAGGTGCAGCCAGCCCGTAGCAGAAGGCCGCAAACGAAGGCCGCAAGGGCCTTGGAAGGCCATGTCGACACGCTGCGAGCGGGGCGCGGCCAGCGAAAGCGGCCAAGGATGGGCCGAAGGGGAAGGACGCGAGGGCAACCTGGCAAACCAGGCAGTGGCAGGGAGGGTAGGGCCTGGATCTTTTTGAAAACTGTACATGCGAGCGACCTTTCATCCGATGCTTCTGTGCAGTGCCATTTCGGCTGAAGAGCCCCTGGAGGGCGAAAGCTACCTGCGCTTGGCACACAAAACAAATCAGCATCCGAGCAGGCTTGATAGTCCTTTCGATCGGGGGAAAGTTGCTCATGGCTGCTATGCGGGTGGGCTGTACGGGCGCCCCCTGCGGACTCTGCCCTCTCCCCGCGCCCGCCTCCGCCCTCTTCGCCCCTCGCCGCCCCTCCTCCTCCGACGACGCGCTCGTCTCGCGGCGGGGGCCCCTGGTGTTATGTCGGGCGTGTCCCCCTACAGGGGGATTTTGACGAAAAATAAATTACCCTGTGACGTACCCAACCCATTTGTATCAATGGAAACGAGGAGTTGGCCGAAACTTGTATGGACAATCAACTTGATGTGTAAGCTACTTGGGAGGCGTCACTGTGCTGGGCCCCGCAAGCAGGCCTAGAAAGTGGCGACAGTTTCACAGATCGCAGCCCCCCAGGGATGGCGAGGTCTAATTTGAATCTGCGTGTGGCGTCACTGTGCTGGGCCCCCCAGCAGGCCTCGAAAGTGGCGACGGTTTCACAGATCTCAGCCCCCCAGGGATGGCGAGGTCCAATTTGAGTCTGCGGTGAGTACCCACTGTGCTGTGCCCCTCAGCAGCCCTCGAAAGTGGCGACAGTTTCACAGATCGCAGCCCCCCAGGGATGGCGAGGTCCCATTTGAGTCTGCGGTGAGTACCCACTTTGCTGGGCCCCTCAGCAGGCCTCGAAAGTGGCGACGGTTTCGCAGATCGCAGCCCCCCAGGGATGGCGAGGTCCCATTTGAGTCTGCGGTGAGTACCCACTGAGCTGGGCCCCCCAGCAGGCCTCGAAAGTGGCGACAGTTTCACAGATCGCAGCCCCCCAGGGATGGCGAGGTCCAATTTGATTCTGCGGTGAGTACCCACTGTGCTGGGCCCCCCAGCAGGCCTCGAAAGTGGCGACAGTTTCACAGATCGCAGCCCCCCAGCTGGCACGCAGCGACGAGCGAGGCAAAAGGCAAGGGGGAAGAGAGGGACGGGAGGCGGGAACGAAGGAAGGAGACGCACGAGCAGTGCTCTATTCAAAACGAGAACCCAACGCAGGAGGGTTGGAGCAAACAAATACTCAAAAAATAGTCCCCCGACTATGTTTGGACTATTTTTTGACTATTTGGGGGGTATTTCTTATTTCTCGTCGAAAATCCCCCTGTAGGGGCTGTAGGGGGACACGCCCGACATAACCCTGGTGATCTCGGTCGCTCCCCTGGCACTGGGGAGACCAGAAGGCACCGGTGCCGCTGCTCCCCAGAGCTCTCCCGGTGCGCGTGCGGGCCAGAGTGCGAAGGCGCGGCGCGGGCCTCCCGGGAGGCCCAAGAGGAGGGACTCGAGAACTTCCCAGGAGGCCCAAGAGGAGGCCCAAGAGGAGGCCCAAGAGGAGGCCCAAGAGGAGGGCCCAAGAGGAGGGCCTCCCAGGAGGCACAAGAGGAGGGGCAGGTACCTTGGGCCCAGGAGGCCCAAGGTACCTGCCCCTCCTCTGAGGAACTGGCTTCTCATCCCGAGCCGTATCTTGACGGCCCCGAGGCCCGGAACGTGCCAAAGACGGCCGTCGCGACTTCCTTTCGCTCGGGCCTGTCCTCTAACAGGCAGATTTGGGGCGAAAAATGAGAAGACTCAAAAAAATACCCAAAAACAATGTGTTGCATATGTTTCACTACTTCCACTATTGTTCACTACCTTTGAAAATTCTCCCTGCAGAGGGACAGACCCGACTGAAGACTTCCTGTGCAGGTGGACTGTCTCAGTAGGCCAGCGCGCTCAACTACTCGCAGAGTCACTACTCGCAAATGGCCTGGATCTCCGCCGTGGGGGATTCACGATATATTACATCGGGGCGAATGTGTGTTTTTTTCGGACGTTTGCGAGTACAGTCGGACTGCATTGGACAGGACACGCGAGAGGACAGAAGACCCTTCCGAGGGCCAAACTGCCGCACGAATGCAGGAGGCACGGGTCGCGAGACACAGGACACAGAGGTACCCTTGATTTGGCAGGGTCGACCCACTAATCCGGGCCGACTGTACTCCAGATTTCGTAATAAAGGGAGGGGGGTCTCATTTCGGGGAGGGTCTCTTCCAGGCTATCTTGGAGGGCCTGGGGGGGTCTGGGGACGATGTTTTGGAGGGTTATCCCACGGGGGAGGTCTGAAATGGCTTGCCTTGGAGGGTCCAGACCCCCCCCCTTTTATTACGAAATCTGGGGTAGGCACTCTGCGAATGGTGGAACGCGCTCGGTGATCTCAGGGCAGCTGCCAGCTGGGCTGCCGCTCGCTGCCTGCCGGCTGCCGGCCGAGGCGGGGGGGCGGGGCCCACGGGCCTCCCCCGCGCTGGACGCGGACGCGACCGACTCCTCGGCCGCAGGGGCGCAGTCGGAAGCAGCCGTTTGCGGCAAGAGGCCCAGACATGCTCGCGCAGCAACAACAACAACAACAACAACAACAACAACAACAACAACAACAACAACAACAACAACAACAATCATTTTACCCGAACGCGTGGTGTTCTCCCCAGTGCCAGGGTTTTCATACGACACCAGGCAATACCCCCACTTCGTGGGGGGGCATTACAAGATCTACCAAATATCCACACGACTCTTCGCGACCACCCAAACCCAGCTTCCCGCCCTATGACGTTGGGACACTTCACTTCGTGGCGTGCGGACGACCGTGGCTACTACACTGGCAGGTGGGGTTGTACACAACAAAGAACCAATGGTTTTTAAGAAACCAATGGTTTTTGGAGATTTCGGCGTGCGCGCGCGAAGAAAAAACGAATGTGTCCCGCATGGTATTATTTGACAGGGATGATGGCCCTGGCAGGTGCGCAACCGTTGTCGCAGAAGTTCGAAAAAGTTGCTCGCAAAAGCCCGTTTGACGGAAATGTTTAAAAAGTGTTGGGTTTCCTACGAATCCGCAAGAGCGCGCGGGATGAGATTTTGACATTTTTTTGTTGAAAAACCATTGGTTGTTTGATGTTTTTATGTTGAAATCGTTCCGAACACTAAGCTTTTGGAAGGATTTCGTCTTGCGCGCGCGAATGTCCACTTTACCTTATTTTTTGCAAGGGATTCTTGAAAATTGATTATATTTGAACAAGAAATTTCATTTTATAGTATTTCTTGCAAGGGAAAGCGGATTACAACAAAACAACCGGATCTTGATCAACTCGAATTACCTGAGGCTTCCTCACGAAAATGATGAAAACGTGGCTGCGGCCTAGGCGCGGCGGGGGGGGCGCGCACCAGGGGGCCCAACAATAATTATTCTTTAGAATTAATAATGTTCAACAACAACAACCAGAAACAACAAGAAACAGCAATAACAGCAACAGCAGCAGCAGCAACAACAACAACAACAATAACAACAATTACCCTGTGACGTACCCAACCCATTTGTATCATGGGAAACGAGGAGTTGGCCGAAACTTGCACGGACAATCAAATTGCAAGATCCGTTGTTTGATATGTAAGCTACTTGGGACACGCGCCAATGGAATGATGCGCAGGAGGAACGAGGGGCGACAACTACAGGCTCGAAGAGGACATGGGGAGTCGGGAACGAAGAGCAGGAGAAAGACGTGCGGGAAGCCCACTGTGG